GGTGTCACAGCCCAAGCCCAGAGAGAGGAGAGGGCAGGCCTCACCTGGGGAGCAGAGAGGGGCCTGTGGGGTCTGGAGCTACTGCAAAAAAGCAGAGCGACAGGACATGCCTGTGAGATGTGGGTGGGTATGGCCAGGTCTCACAAGGTTCTGCAGACCTCAGTTAGAAGTTCTTTTCTTTTTTCTTTTCCTTTTAAACAAAGGAGAAAATGAACCAAGGTTTGGCTTAAGTAACTAAGGAGATGATGATCTGACTTAGTGAGCTAAAGGTGGCTGTGAAAGAAAAGAGATGAGGTAGACATGGGGCTAAAAGGTTGGTTTTGCCTGTCTACACAAGGCACACAGTGATTTTAGGACACTGTAGGTTATTTGGTCAGAGACGGTGTGTGTGTGGGGGCAAGATTCTGGAGCTGAAGGAAGTGAGCAGGACCAGACATATACATTTATGAGTCATTAGCACGTGCGGGACACTTTAAGTGATGGAGATGGATACACTTAGGAACAGAGTGTAGACAAAGACAAAGAGAGAGGGTGCAGAATTACCCTCTGAAAAGTCAACAGCTGGAGGTCAAGTTGAGAAGCTGCTGCTGGAGAGACAGAGAAGAATGGACCAGGGAAGCAGAGGCCAAGAGAGCTTGCTATCCTTGTCACTGAGGGGAAGGTTCCAAGAGGGGCGCTGTCAAGGGTGTGTGGTGATGCGGAGGTGGAGGAAACTGAAGGTAGGTGGACAGGATGGATGCCTCATCCCCACATCATCCCAGACTGGCCACAATGGACTATGAACCACAGATGTCCCTGCATTAATACTAACAGTACGGTGCGCAACTGTCCCTTCTTGGCATGCCCTCTGCCTGTGTGTCAGACCCTGGGCTGCTTAAAGCCCAGTCTGGCCCCTCCAGTGCATCCCCATGCTGTGCCGAAGGGAGGGACTTTCAAACACGCCTGCTGATAATGTCATTCATGTGTTGGAAACCTGGCAATGACCCACCTACCCTACCCACTGTCTCAGGATAAAAGTCAGACTCTTTAATATGCAAGACCATTGATGGGCATTTAGGTTACTTCCTGTTTAAGGCTGCTGCACCAAGACCACCACGAGTTCTTACATTTACCTTTCAGTATTTTTGTACAGATGTTTCTTTGGATGTACAAATGGGCTGAAAATAAAGATCTAAGTAACCTATTTTATAAAACAGAAAAAGAAAATCCAACTAAAATGAGAAAAATTAGAAGTGAGGATTTAATAAAGATGAGAGAAGTTATCAAGGAAATATAAAGCAGGCAATAGAGGAAATCAGTAAATGCCATGTGGTCCTCTGAGTCAACTGACAAAAGAGACAAAACAGCAAAACTGACTGAGGAAAAATGGAAAAAGCCTAAGTGCATAATATCAGGAATGAAAAGGTGGGGGCATCGATGCTGATCCTAAAGACATTAAAAATAAGGGCAGGTTGTATCAGTTTCCTGTTGCTGATGTAACAAGTTGCCACAAACTTATGCTAAAAGCACAGTTTTTGTTTATCTGAAGGTCCAGGAGGTCTTACAGAACTAAAATCAAGGTGGTGGCCACATGTGTTCCTTCTGGAGGCTCTCAGGAGAGTCTGCTTCCTGCCTGTTCCAGCCTCCGGAGGCACCCAAATTCCCTGGATTGTGTCCCACTCTCAGGGATACCATCATCCATCCTCTGCTTCTTCTCTGACTCAAACCCTCCTGCCTCTCTCTTTCACTTAAAAGGATGCCATGATTACACTGGGTCCACCCAGATAATCCAGGATAATCTCTCCATCTCAAGGTCCTTAATTTAACCACATCTAGAAACCTCCTTTTGCCATGTAAAGTAACATATTCACAGTTCTGGGGAAAAAGAAACACAGGGTATTATGAACCCTGTATTGAAAATAACTTTGAAATTTAAGATGGCACGAACAAATTTTTTAAGAACAATTTTCCAGAACAAAAACAAGAAGAAACAACTATCTTTATAATTCTATTTCTCAGTGGAGTTGAATCTACAATTTAAACCATTCCCAATAAGAAAACTCAAGTCCCAGAGGACTGCAGCATTAAATCACTAAAAATACTTAAGGAAGAACTCACACTAATCTTACACAAACTCAACCAGAAAACAATAAAAGTGGGAACATTTCCAGACTCCTTCTGTGAGGCTAGTATAACTTCAAGGTCAAAATTTAGCAAGGACATTATAAGATAGGAAAATTACAGGCAAATCATTCTCATAAACACAGGCACAAAAATCCTGGACAAAATATTAACAAATGAAACTAATGATGTATAAAAAGAGTAATACATTATAACTATGTTGGGTTTATTCTAGGGATGTATGTTTGATTTAAAACTCAAAATTAAAACAATGTGACATCATATTAAAGGAAAAAAATCACATGAGATTCTCAAAAGATGCAAAATACGCCCTCTATATTTTCAGCACCCATTCATAATAGAACTTGTAGCAAACCATAAATAAAGGGAGATTTCCTTATACAGTAAAGGATGTTTACCAAAACCCCTGAAAATATTATACTAGAGAAAAAAATACTTTGAGAGCTTTCTGTTTCTGTCTGGGAATTCACTCTAACACTTTCTATTCAGTAGTAAACTGGAGCTCCTCTCCAGTGCAATAAGACAAGCAAGAGAAATAAAGATCCTGAGACTTAGAAAGAAAACTGTCATTTTGCATAGACAGCATAACTGTGCAGATAGAAAATTCAGAATATGCAGATAAACTGTGAGGATAAATGAGTTTAACAATGTTATCCAAGAGAAAAGTGTGCAGATATACACAAAAAGATATTTATGAGAATGTTCATAGTAGCTTTATTCACAACAGCCCCAAACTAGAAACAGCACAAAAGTCCCTTAACAACATAGCACTAAATAATTTGAGTTATACTGATACAATGGAATTCCTAAAGCTATGAAAAAGAACAAACTATGTATGCACACCCGTCAGACATACTACATGATTCCAATTATATGAACTACAAAGCTAGTAAAATAAATTTGTAATGGTAGCTGTGAGAACAGTGGTCACCTTTACAAAGGCTATGATTAGAAAATTCTGGGTGTTGGTAATGTTCTATAACTTGATCAGGATGGTGGTTATATGCATATGCTCATTTTTTTAAAAATGTAATGGACTGTACACTTATGATTTGTATACTTTACAACATGAATGTTGTACGTAAGAAAAAAGTTAAAATACTTTAAGGCTGAAATGAACTAAATAAATATATTAGCAAAAAAAATGCACTAAATAAATACATCGTATCTGTAAACAATTATATACTTATGTGGGCGTACTCATTTGATGTAACAGCTGTAACTTTAATCACTACAATGTTATTTTATTTTTTTCAATAGATTTCGAGTTTTTCTGGATTTTTCACTAAGGCTGTCTACACACGTAAACCAGGTACCTGAATTGGTACCAGGCAGGAGTTGGGAAAGCTAGGGACTATCTGACTGCCTCTTCATTCACTTTAAGATCAGTCATATGGGTACCAAGATTTTCTTAAAAAATGACAGCAGAATCTTAAATCTCCTGGAAACAGCTGTGACTTGGGATTCAGAAAACAAAAGCCATGATTCAAAATCCTGCTACTTGCTTTTGACTGGTGGTCCTTCTCAACCCTGCAAAGCTTCACTTTGTTCTGGCCTGTGTCCCAAGGTTGTCGTAATAACATGTACTGAAAGAACTGTTTGCTGGAGAGAGGACATGTAAAATATGAATGGAATTTTGCCGATAACATTTAATATGCTGGTTACCACAATCATTTACCAACAGGGAACCAAGCCTGCTCTGAAGTCCTCGAATGGAAATCACCCTTTGTTCCCTCAGGGACACACAAAGCCACTGTTCCCATAGCAACACTGTCATGTGATGTGAGAAATCAGGGCTAGGCCTTGAATGATAAAACAAAAGAGAGTGTTAGCTAGCTAGCAAGGAAAACATCATGGGAAGATAGTGCCAGGTCTCCAATAAAAGGAAGCAGTGTATGCATATGTACACCTTGTGTAATACTTTTTATTCTTGAGAACTGTAAATAACCTATCTTTTTCAAAAAGCTTTTATTTTTTTTAAAAGTCAGTATTTCATTTGATATGTCAGATCACTTAGAAAAATAAGGTTTTTCTTTGGCTTTCACTAACATCTATTTTTCTCTTGCATGTAGTCAAGAAGAAATTGAAGACAAAAGAATTCATTTGCCCAAATCCTTGAGATGTTGTGACTTTGGCCCTTAGGGAAGAAAGGAGAGGAGGAGTGAGGGGCTGAAGTAACGTTTACTAAAGATCTAGATGGAGTGAATGTGTAGATCTTTATAACATGCATAGATTTCTTATTATATGTTTTTGAGAATTCAAAATATGCAAGATGTTATAAATATATATTATGGATTTCTTTTTTAAGAGAAAATGTTTTGAGAAAATCCTAATTAGTACTCAGTGAAGTTTGACTTATCTTCCCACAGCTTCCAGGGAAAGTACCAGAAGGCCAAGATTCCTCTTTACCCTTTTCAAGTCCTCAGTAGACTCCCTCTGGCGACAGCACCAGAATCACAGCTAACTGCTGAACAATCATCGACGAAGACACTGGAACTCAACAAAAAAGATACGCCACATCCAAAGACAAAGGAGAAGCCACAATGAGACGGTAGGAGGGGTGCAATCACAATAAAATCAATTCCCAAAACTTCTGGGTGGGTGACTCACAAACTGGAGAACACTGATACCACAAAAGTCCACCCACTGGAGTGAAGGTTCTGAGCCCCAAGTCAGGCTTCCCAACCTGGGGGTCCGGCAACAGGAGGAGAAACACCCAAGAGAATCAAACTTTGAAGGCTAGTGAGATTTGATTGCAGGACTTCGACAGGACTGGGGGAAACAGAGACTCCACTACTGGAGGGCACACACAAAGTAGTGTGTGTATCGGGACCCAGGGGAAGGAGCAGTGATCCCACAGAAGACTGAACCAGACCTACCTGCTAGTGTTGGAGGGTCTCCTGCAGAGGTGGGGTGGGGCTGTGGCTCACAGTGAGAACAATGACACTGGCCGCAGAAGTTCTGGGAAGTACTCCTTGGTGAGAGCCCTCCCAGAGTCCACCATTTAGCCCCACCAAAGAGCCAGGTAGGCTCCAGTGTCGGGTCGCCTCAGGCCAAACAACCAACAGGGAGGGAACCCAGCCCCACCCATCAGCAAACAAGCGGATTAAAGTTTTACTGAGCTCTGCCCACCAGAGCAACACCCAGCTCTATGCACCACCAGTCCCTCCCATCAGGAAACTTGCACAAGCTTCTTAGATAGCCTCATCCACCTGAGGGCAAACAACAGAAGCAAGAAGAACTACAATCCTGCTGCCTGTGGAACAAAAACCACATTCACAGAAAAATAGACAAGATGAAAAGGCAGAGGGCTATGTACCAGATGAAGGAACAAGATAAAACCCCAGAAAACAACTAAATGAAGTGCAGACAGGAAACCTTCCAGAAAAAGAATTCAGAATAATGATAGTGAAGATGATCCAGGACCTCAGAAAGAAAATGGAGGCAAAGATCAAGAAGATGCAAGAAATGTTTTAAAAAGACCTAGAAGAATTAAAGAACAAACAAACAGAGATGAACAATACAATAACTGAAATGAAAAATACACTAGAAGCAATCAGTAGCAGAATAACTGAGGCAGAAGAATGGATAAGTGACCTGGTAGACAAAATGGTGGAATTCACTACCGAGGAACAGAATAAAGAAAAAAGAATGAAAAGAAATGAAGACAGCCTAAGAGACCTCTGGGACAACATTAAATGCAACAACATTCGCATTATAGGGGTCCCAGAAGGAGAAGAGAGAGAGAGATGACCCGAGAAAATATTTGAAGAGATTATAGTTGAAAACTTCCCTAACATGGGAAATGAAATAGCCATCCAAGTCCAGGAAGCACAGAGAGTCCCAGGCAGGATAAACCCAAGGAGAAACACACTGAGACACACAGTAATAAAATTGACAAAAATTAAAGACAAAGAAAAATGATTGAAAGTAACAAGGGAAAAACGACAAATAACATACAAGGGAACTCCCATAAGGTTAACAGCTGACTTCTCAGCAAAACCTCTCCAAGCCAGAAGGGAGTGGCATGATATATTTAAAGCAATGAAAGGAAAGAACCTACAACCAAGATTACTCTACCTGGCAAGAATCTCATTCAGATTCAATGTAGAAATCAAAAGCTTTACAGACAAGTAAAAGCTAAGAGAATTCAGCACCACCAAACCAGCTCTACAACAAATGCTAAAGGAACTTCTCTAAGTGGGAAACACAAGAGAAGAAAAGGATCTACAAAAACAAACCCAAAACAATTAAGAAAATGGTCACAGGAACATACATATCGATAATTACCTTAAACGTGAATGGATTAAATGCTCCAACCAAAAGACACAGGCTCACTGAGTGGACACAAAAACAAGACCCACATATATGCTGTCTACAAGAGACCCACTTCAGACCTAGGGACACATACAGACTGAAAGTGAGGGAATGGAAAAAGATATCCCACGCAAAAAAAATCAAAAGAAAGCTGGAGTAGCAATACTCATATCATATAAAATAGACTTTAAAATTAAGAATGTTACAAGAGACAAGGAAGGACACTACATAATGATCAAGGGATCAATCCAAGAAGAAGACGTAACAATTATAAATATATATGCACCCAAAATAGGAGCACTTCAATACATAAGGCAACTGCTAATAGCTATAAAACAGAAAATTGACTTCAACATAATAATAGTGGGGAACTTTAACACCTCACTTACACCAGTGGACAGATCATCCAAACAGAAAATTAATAAGGAAACACAAGCTTTAAAGGACACAACAGACCACATAGATTTAATTGATATTTATAGGACATTCATCCAAAAACAGCAAATTACACTTTCTTCTCAAGTGCACATGGAACATTCTCCAGGATAGATCACATCTTGGGTCACAAATCAAGCCTCAGTAAATTTAAGAAAATTGAAATCATATCAAGCATCTTTTCTGACCACAACGTTATAAGATTAGAAATCAATTACAGGGAAAAGAACGTAAAAAACACAAACACATGGAGGCTAAACAATATGTTACTAAATAACCAAGAGATCACTGAAGAAATCAAAGAGGAAATCAAAAAATACCTAGCGACAAATGACAATGAAAACATGACGATCCAAAACCTATGGGATGCAGCAAAAGCAGTTCTAAGAAGGAAGTTTATAGCACTACAAGCCTACCTCAAGAAACAAGAAAAATCTCAAATAATCAATCTAGCCATACACCTAAAGGAACTAGAGAAAGAAGAACAAACAAAACCCAGTTAGTAGAAGGAAAGAAATCACAAAGATCAGAGCAGAAATAAATGAAATAGAAACAAAGAAAACAATAGCAAAGATCAATAAAACTAAAAGCTGGTTCTTTGAGAAGATAAAAAAATTGATAAACCATTAGCCAGACTCATCAAGAAAAAGAGGGAGAGGACTCAAATCAATAAAATTAGAGATGCAAAAGGAGAAGTTACAACAGACGCCACAGAAATACAAAGCATCCTAAGAGACTACTACAGGCAACTCTATGCCAATAAAATGGACAACCTGTAAGAAATGGACAAATTCTTAGAAAAGTATAAACTTCCAAGACTGAACCAGGAAGAAAGAGAAAATATGAACAGACCAATCACAAGTAATGAAATTGAAACTGCGATTAAAAATCTTCCAACAAACAAAAGTCCAGGAAAAGATGGCTTCACAAGTGAATTCTATGAAACATTTAGAGAAGAGCTAACACCCATCCTTCTCAAACTCTTCCAAAAAATTGCAGAGGAAGGCACATCCCAAACTCATTCTATGAGGCCACCATCACCCTGATAGCAAAGCCAGACAAAGATACTACAAAAAAAGAAAATTACAGACCAATATCACTGATGAATATAGATACAAAATTCCTCAACAAAATACTAGCAAACAGAATACAACAACACATTAAAAGGATCATGCACTGTGATCAAGTGGGATTTATCCCAGGGATGCAAGGATTCTTCAATATATTCAAATCAATCAATGTGTTACACCATATTAACAAACTGAAGAATAAAAACCGTATGATCATCTCAATAGATGCAGAGAAAGCTTTTGACCAAAGTCAACACCCATTTATGATAAAACTCTCCAGAAAGTGGGCATAGAGGGAACCTACCTCAACATAATAAAGGCCATATACAACAAACCCACAGCAAACATCATTCTCAATGGTGAAAAACTGAAACCATTTCCTCTAAGATCAGGGACAAGACAAGGATGTTCACTCTCACGACTATTATTCAACGTAGTTTTGGAATTCCTAGCCACGGCAATCAGAGAAGATAAAAAAATAAAAGGAATACAAATTGGAAAAGAAGAAGTAAAACTGTCACTGTTTGCAGACGACTTGATACTATACACAGAGAATCCTAAAGATGCCACCAGAAAACTACTAGAGCTAATCAGTGAATTTGGTAAAGTTGCAGGATACAGAATTAATGCACAGAAATCTCTGGCATTCCTATACACTAATGATGAAAAATCTGGAAAAGAAATTAAGGAAACACTCCTATTTACCATTGCAAGAAAGAGAATAAAATACCTAGGAATGAACTTACCTAGGGAGACAAAAGACCTGCATACAGAAAACTATAAGACACTGATGAAAGAAATTAAAGATGATACAAACAGACGGAGAGATATACCATGTTCTTGGATTGGGAGAATAAATATTGTGAAAATGACTATACTACCCAAAGCAATCTACAGATTCAATGAAATCCCTAGCAAGCTACCAATGGCATTTTTTTACAGAACTAGAACAAAAAATCTTAAAATTTTTATGGAGACACAAAAGACCCCAAATAGCCAAAGCAGTCTTGAGGGGAAAAAAAACGGAGCTGGAAGAATCAGACTCCCTGACTTCAGACTATACTGCAAAGCTACAGTAATCAAGACAATATGGTACTGGCACAAAAACAGAAATAAAGATCAATGGAACAGGACAGATAGCCCAGAGATAAACCCACGCACCTATGGTCAACTAATCTATGACAAAGTAGGCAAGGATATACAATGGAGAAAAGACAGTCTCTTCAATAAGTGGTGCTGGGAAAACTGGACAGTTACATGTAGAAGAATGAAATTTGAACAGTCCATAACACCATACACAAAAATAAACTCAAAATGTATTAGAGACCTAAATATAAGACCCAACACTATAAAACTCTTAGAGGAAAACATAGGAAGAACACTCTTTGACATAAATCACAGCAAGATTTTTTTTGATCCACCTCCTAGAGTAATGGATATAAAAACAAAAATAAACAAATGGGACCTAATGAACGTTAAAAGCTTTTGCAAAGCAAAGGAAACTACAAACAAGATGGAAAGACAACCCTCAGAATGGGAGAAAATATTTGCAAACAAATCAACAGACAAAGGATTAAACTCCAAAATGTAGAAACAGCTCATGCAGTTCAATATTAAAAAAAAACAAACAACCCAATCAAAAAATGGGTAAAAGACCTAAATAGACATTTCTCCAAAGAACACATACAGATGGCCAAGAAGCACATGAAAAGCTGCTCAACATCACTAATTGTTAGAGAAATGAAAATCAAATGTACAGTGAGGTCTCTCCTCACACCAGTTAGAATGGGCATCATCAGAAAATCTACAAACAAAAAATGCTGGAGAGGGTGTGGAGAAAAGGGAACTCTCTTGCACTATTGGTGGGAATGTAAATTGATACAGCCACTATGGAGAACAGTATGGAGTTTCCTTAAAAAACTAAAAATAGAATTACCATATGACCCAGCAATCCCACTGCTGGGCATATACCTAGAGAAAACCATAATTCAAGAAGACACATGGACCCTAATGTTCCACTGCAGTACTATTACAATAGCCAGGTCATAGAAGCAACCTAAATGCCCATCAACAGACAAATGGATAAAGAAGATGTGGTACATATATACAATGGAATATTACTCAGCCATTAAAAAGGGACAAAGTTGGGTCATTTGTAGAGACGTGGATAGATCTAGAGACTGTCATACAGAGTGAAATAAGTCAGAAAGA